AAGAGTAGCGGAAACGTTCTTGAGAAGAAACTCACTCGTATAAGGGGCAGACACTTCTAACGCTTTTGGCTTTTGCTTTGGTAGGGTTTTTATTTTTATTTCTAATGATAAGGATTTGATTTTGGTTTTGGGGATTACTAAAAAATGGCAGAAACGAACATATTGGAAAGATTGGTTTGCCTCTATTTTTACTTTCAATTTATTTGGATATATGAAAGTGTTACAATATGCTTCATTAAATGTAACAGTTACTAAACCAATGTAACAATATTTCTCAAGTTATAGATGTGTTACATTAGTATCGGATAAAATGTACCTATTACTAAACAAATGTAATGACACACTTAAAACCGTTACAATAAATCACTTTTTTGTAACACTTTAAACAAATGCTACAATTTGTTCGTTACATTAGACTCGAAAATGTAGTAGTGTTTCCAAGGTGGCGCATTGGTGACGCATTCATTATTATGGAAGCCAAACCTGTCATTATTAATAACTTTAGGCGGCACATTGGTGACGGAAAGATGGTGAATATTTGGAGGGACCCTTGGCTACTAGATTCCTCAAATCCTAGGCGTCTCTCGCAGATTACTCTAAGGGTTGGAGGATACTAAAGTGTCAGGTCTGATTTCAAATGAAAACCGGGAGTGGGATAGGGTTTTGGTGTTTGAATTATTCAATGATAGGGACATGGATCTTAGAATGAATATAAATTCCCCAACTTCAACTTAGAAATCCCCGGAATTTATCACGGGCTGTTATCTGATGAAATACCGATACTGGTATATGGGCCCTGTTTGACCAATCGGTCAACTATATGCCTTTTCTATGGCCCAACTAGAGTATCCATCACCATATACATATTATATAGACCAAGATGAATATAATGTGTGCCCCCGGAAATATCGGGTTGTCCCCGCTCCCGGTGTGGGCCCCAGGTACATTTTACTATTCACGCAAAAGAAATAATAAAAATTTACAACCGTGTAAATTCATAAATCATTTTTCAATGTTCAATACAAGATTTACATAAAAAGTAAATATACCTGGGGACGGTGCTACAAGTTCACCCCTTATTTGGGATTTCGTCCCCGAAATCAACGTGTCTAGTAAAAAAGAAACGAGTATTGCTCCCTCATTGAGACCTCGGTCTCCCAGGTTTCTTCTTCGAATCGATCACTCCTCCAAAGTACCTTCACCATATGAATCTGATCTCCTTGTTCCTAAGTTTCTTTGCCTGCTAGCCCACTATCTTCACCGGTTCTACTCCATATTGCAAGTTCTCTCAGATCTCCATCGGTGATTTCTCAAGAATATGTGACAGGTCTCGTGCATACTTCTTGAGCATCGATACATGAAACACATCATGAATCTTCTCAAGTTCAAGTGTCAACTTGAGATGGTAAGCCACGGCCCCAGGAGGTTTTCGACTATATCTGGTAAGTTAGGTAACTGTAACAGGCGAGCTGAGAAATTATAACTGACAGAATGGGTAACTGTGACTAATCAATCAGACAATTGTAACTAGCGGATCGAATAACTCTAATCAGCCATGTCATGTAACTGTAACTGGGCAAGTTGTGTAACTTTAACTGAGGAGGGTATAAAAGTATATAAATCTCTTTTTGAAAACATTTAAAAATGGTTCTATTTTTGTCCATGACTTTCTGTTTGGTAATATTAATGAGAAAACCCTTATTATATATTTATCCTCTTTTGGGTTTAACGGTTGACTTGGAAGGTGTAGTTTTTATCCATTTTTGACTTTTGACCTTTCTTGCTTCATTTTTTATTTTTGTTCACATTCATTGCTTATTTCAGGATATCTATTTATTTCTCTCTTTTTTCTGTACAAGTTAATATAATTACCTATGCAAAACATAATTAATTAATGTATTTTTTGACTACTCAGTATAGCTTAGCTTATGCGAAAAAATTGTATTCCCTTCATCACATTATAAGGTTTTCACTTTAATTTTCTTTTTTTGGACATCCCATATAAATGTTATCATTTCTATTTTATAAACGATTAACAATCTTAATGATAATTTAATTATCAAATGGCATCACAATTATCATCATGATAACAATTAACAATTTTAATTATCAAATATTAAAAATAATATTTCTATGACATCACGAATATCATCATAATCCCATTATATGATATAACCATCAAAACTATTTCTCAAAATATATTCGAATAACTTTATTAATTATTATCTAAATATTCGTGCCATTTTACAATGAGAATCTTTAAGCGGGATGAAAGTAGTAGCTTTCAACATATCAAAAAGTTCAAAAAAATCTTTTTCATTTAATGCATATTCAATAGACACAAGTCTCACTCTACTCTCTTGCTTTTATACCATTTATAAAATCTTTAAAACGGTTTAGTTATATATTTGATAATTTGACACAACAATTTTTAAGTGTTTCAGAAAGCATAAAAGATATTGTAAAAAAAGCATAAAATTAAAGACCATTTTAAATCATTTATAATGAGTAGCTTTTGAGATGAAGTCTATAACCTTTAACATTAATTACTCACATTTTTTATTATGTCGAACATAACTACACCGAAGATTCAATTTTTATTGAACAACTGTAACTATTTTCTTTCAAGAAGTTTTGCATCACTAATACTATTATCCGTTCTTTAATAATTGTAATAGTTTGACTTTCATGTTTGCCAATACATAACTTTGAGTGTAATTATATTCATTAACGTATTAGTAAACATTATATAAAATTAATATTTTAGAAATTTACATTGATAGAAATTTAATAACATTTTATACATAAAATTTTGATTATACTCCGTATATATTAGTATAAAACTGTGATCAAAATAAGACGTATGAATAGTGTAAAATCATAATATTACAAATACTTCGTATTAAAGAACGGAGGAAAATGTAAGCACTAGCAACTAGCAATTATTAGTGAAAAAATCACAATAGTGCGTTTTCAACTAATTAGGCGAGTTTGTCCTGCCAAATCTTTATATTATACGATAGTATAAAGCAATTGGGTGGCCAATTGATTTTGCAATTTTCCTTCCTAAAGCAATTGCGGTGCTCAATTAATTTTGCGATTTTGCAATCGAGTTGTTTGGTCCACCAGATACACAATTAAGTCAACTAAAAGTCATTTATTATTCATACGGCCATGTATTTTATATTACTACATATAATTTTATATTATATAAATCAAGTGGGTGGGTAATTGATTTTGCAATTTTTCCCTCCTAAAGCAATTGCGGTGCTCAATGTTTTTGCAATTTTGCAATTGAGTTGTTTGGTCCATCCATGCACATAATTAATTCAATTAAAAGTCATTTATTATTCATACGATCATGTATTTTATATTATATACGTATGTGTAGGAGCCAAGTAACCATTAGTAGTATTATAATCTTTATATTATATAAAGCAATTGAGTGGCCAATTGATTTTACAATTTTCCCTCCTAAAGCAATTGCGGTGTTCAATTGATTTTGGAATTGAGTTGTTTGGTCTATCAAGGCACACAATTAATTAAACTAAAAGTCATTTATTATTCATACGACCATGTATTTTATATTATATACATATGTGTAGGAGCCAAATAATCATTAGTAGTATTATAACAGTAATGTATACTACCTCCGTCCGCGGAAAGATTCTCATCTTTATATTATATCTTTATCTTTATATATATTATATAGAGCAATTGGGTGACCAATTGATTTTTCAATCTTCCAGCCTAAAGCAATTGAGGTGGACAATTGATTTTGCAATTTTGCAATTCAATTGTTTGGTCTATCGAGGCACAACACTAATCTTTAATCAGTATAGAGCAATTGGATCATTTGGGTGGCCAATTGATTTTTCAATTTTCTCGCCTAAAGCAATTGGTCGGGGTGGGCAATTGAAAACCATGTACCATAGTATTTTATATTATATACATATATGTTAGGACCCAAATACTCCGTAATCATTAGTAGCATATATATTATAATAGTAATATATACTACATTCATTCGTTGAAAGGTTCTTATTGCAAAATGTCAAGATTATTTAGACAATAAATTTGATAGGTATATCATATGATGAGGTTAATGGTGATAATTGTGATGTTGTAAATGCATTATTTTTAATATTTGATGATTAAGCTGTATTAAGAGTGTTAATCGTTTTCTAAAAGAGAAATGTGAACTTTATATGGGACGTCCAGAAAAAAATGGGACCATTTATATATGAGACAGAGAGAATACTTTGTATATAGTGGGAATAGCAAATCATTTTGACTATTCAATTGCACAAATGTCATGATGACATTGGAGATGATGTTGATGAACTAAATTTTGATCCGAAGAAAACGAGAGACATAACAATTGATTTTGCAATTTTATAATGGAGTTGTTTGGTCCATCCAGACACGCACTTAAAAGTCATTTCCTATTCATACGACCATATATAGTATTTGTGTTCTTAAATAATTGTAACATTTGAAATTTTACACTATTCACGTGCTCTACTATTACTATGTTTTATTTTACTAATGTATTTATAATTTAGTTTAAAAAAACTCTATATAATTAAATTCCCTTCATTCTAAATTTTCAAAGGGTGATTTTTTGTGGTTTAATTAATTTTTTTAGATAAAGTGAGAAATTGTAATGTTTTCATAAGGTGTTCTACTATTATTATGTTTTGTTTTATTAATGAATTAATAATTTATTTTTAAAAAATACTCTGTATAATTAAATTTTCCTCATTCTAAATTTTCAAAAGGTGATATTTGTGGTATAATCAGTTCTTTTATAGATAAAGTAAGAAATTGTAATGTTTTTTTCATAACATGATCATTGATCGATTTAATAACACTTCACGTATGAAATAAGTTTGTAACAAAATAACCAATCAATCTTTTTTTATCTCACCAATGTATATTGAGTATTCCCGTGAACGCCATGCACGGTTCATCCTCTACTATTATAGTGATGGGCGGTGTTGGCTTTCATGGAGCCGAATGATTGGTGATACGGGCTACCGGACCGATTTGCACTATTGAATGAGAGGGAAAACTCAAGATTTCTTTAAACCCGTACTACGGCGTAAAAGTATAGTTTTTTTCCGAGTTTTCCAGAGGCAAGATTAATTTTAATCTAATCTCTATTCTCCTACATCGATGAGTGCTTCTGATCTGTCTCCTCTCCGATAATCCTCCACTGCCCACCGTACTCTGTTCGATTGTTTTGCGTTATCTTTATACCCAGTTACCCACAGAAGTATATAAGTCAGGGGTGTTTAGGAGTTTTGGAATGTCACAGAGCAGTAGTGAAAACAGTCGAGGTGCGGCGATTGCTTCTGACTTCCATTTGTCGGACGAGGTGTTATCGGTTATCCCGACTGACCCGTATGAGCAGTTGGATCTGGCTCGGAAAATCACTTCAATGGCGATTGCGTCCCGCGTGACGAAGCTGGAGTCAGAGGTGGGACGGCTTCGAGGAATGCTTCATGACAAGGACCGTGCTATTGTTGAGCTCGAGGATAAGGTCTCCCATCTCGAGCAAAGCTATCAGGAATCCGAATTACGATTGAAAATCACCCGTGAAGACAATGTACGTGATAGACTATGAGATACTAGTATTATAGATTTCTAATTAGCCTCAATGGACACATACAAATATATAACTGTAATTGCAAATTTAAAGTCTATCACTGTGTAATATTTCAATTACAAAAAGAGCCGACTCCCCATCTTTCTTTTGTTTTATTGATGCCATGGTGTTGACATTTGTTTTTCCCTCCATTTCTTGGAATTAAAGATGAAGCTTTTGAAGGAGAGGGATACACTGGCTTTGACGGCAAAGAAGCTTGGTCGTGATTTAGAAAAGGTACTCTCGTACCCTTTTCGTCTGCTGTAGAAAAATGGGAGTTAAATGATACCATTTTGATGATTTTGCTTGCTTATGCGTGTCATGTTGTGGCTGTATTAGCATTTAGCAACAATGGCTGTATGAAATTGGCCTCTGTCATGGAGATTTTACTCAACATTAATGCCTCCTACGTTTTGAATATTGTTAGAGATATGTTACAGCTGTATATATACTCAATTAAGGGAGATTAGGTCACATATATGTTATTACAGTTGTATATATGCTCAATAAAAGGAGCTTTTAGTTACTTAGTATAGAATGTGCACTTTGCTAGATTAGCTATGATACTCTTGTATGTATATATTCAATGTTCTTTGTTCAATACAGACACAAAAAAACATTTCATACTTCTTCTCTAATCTCTATTAACATGGTCTCAGAGCATTACAACCCTAATTAAGCCCATAAAAAATACCATTACCCCGTGAAACCTTAGATCGGCATTTAGTTGATCCCCGTTCCGTACAAGATTATGTATATCAACTAGGGATGGAACCGGTACCGGTCCGGTCCCGATTCTTGGATATGGAGGACTAGAATTGACCTGGATAATACAGGTCCCGGTCCGGTCCCGAGCCGATTCATGCTTTTTTTAAATTTATTATATTAGTAATATTAGTAATATAGATATAAAAAATGTTACACATTAAAAATGAAATATGGATTTATTTGAACATTACATTGACTTAGACATTTGCAAATTACAATTTAGAATAGTTACATTACATACATTTTCTATTCGTGGGAACTCCCGCTTCCGGCGTTGGTCGTCGTATCCTCCATGAAGTGGCGGGATGGTGCTATGTTAATTTTTTGAGTTTTATGACTGACCTTCAACCAATCGTGGAAGCAAATAAGTGTCTCAGGAGATTGTGCGCTGAAAATAGGACCACATAATTCACCCCAAACGGCTATATAGCCGTTCCAACGGCTATAAGCCCTTCCCCCATCCGAAATTTCAAAAACAAGAAGAATTGACCATTAGGATCGGGACCTCCCGGTCCGGTCCCCAAAACCAAACTCGGGGCCGGGACCGCATGGTACCCGATCGGGTACTTGGTCCTACACCGGGACTGGTTTTACAGATCCGGTCTGGTCCCGCACAGTATCGGACCCGGTTCTGGACCAGGTCAATCCCTACCGTCAACATTCTAGCTCAGAACCTTCTCTTATTTTATAAAATGGAGATGGTGAAAAATCAAATGATGTTATAGTCCTTCGAATTATTAATTATTCTGCTACTATGAAAATACCGGTTAAACTAAATTCAATTAGTTGGACACAATGGAGTATGTTTGTTCAAACAGGCCATGAAAGCTTGGATAAAAGATGCATATTTGAACTAGGATCCTCTAGAACCTAAGACTTGGAATGGAAGCTTGAAGATGGTGGAATCAGAATGGCTTTGTTGAACACAATGGAACCTCAAGTTTTGAGCATTGCTCAAAATTACCTCATCACAAAGAAGATGTGGGAATATTTGCAGTCCTCTTTCTTTGGAAAGGATTCTCTCTCCCACACGTACTGATGTGAGCAGGGTGACTCGAACTTTACTGAAAATTATACAAGGTTGTCCAAATTAGCAGAGGTCAAATTGTTGTCTTCCCTGTCACTCTAGATGTCAAAGTTAAGGAGGAGCCGTTAGCAAAAATGGATGTGATGACATTTATCTCAGGGCTATCTCCCAAGTACTCTAGTGACCGCCCTTTGCTATTGAGTCGCACTGCCTCTCAATCTGTAGCCTCGACATACCATCTTGTCTAAGAAATGTATTCAGATAATTCAATTACACAATCGTTTAGAGGCACAAATGCATCCACTTTTATGACTTTTAATGCCCAAAGTAATGGTAAAGTAGTGAATCAGAATGATCCGTATAACAAGATCCAGTGTCATTACTGCAAAGAATATGGACACATCAAGTACAATTGTCCATATCGACAACCTAGATCTCATCCACCCAGGGGTGGACCCAGAAAAGTCTTCATGGGGGGCAAAAATATTTTTTGGGGGGTTCAAAATATTTTTTGGGAGGGAGAAAATTATTTTTCACATATATATACACTAAAAAAATTCTTGTTGGGGGGCGGTAGCCCCCTGAGTCTGTACCACGGTCCGCCCCTGCATCCACCCACTGACCCACTGATGATACGATAGGCGCTTATCCCAAAGTATTTGGACAAGTAACATCCACTCCCATAACACACTCAATATCTTCAACTTGTCTTTCTACTTGCTCATCATCTTGGATTATTGATTCTGATTCTACAGATCATATGACCACGAACAAAATCCTCATACTCAACCTGGATACAAGTGTAACTCATAACCTTGTTAGACTTGTTAATGGTTCTTCATGTCCAGTTATGAGCACAGGATCCACCAGTAATTTACCAAATCTAAACTTAGCATCGGTTCTTTTTGCTCCCACCATTCAAGGTAATCTTATATCTTTTAGTCAAATTACCAAGAAACATAATTGTTCAATAATTCTCTTTCCTACACATTGTGTTTTTTATGAACTAGAGATGAAGCGGTTGATTGATTCAAGTTTTGAGTCTCCAAGGTCTCTATCGCTTCTCTGCACCAGTCTCTTTCAGCACACCTTAATAAATCCAGTATTGGCGATTGTCATTGTCAGCTCGGCTCTTCTTCTTTACCTGTTCTCAAGCGCCTCAAACTAGATTTTTCACCCTTTCCTGAGTTTTTTGTGAGGCATGTCAGTTATGGAAACACACCTGTCATCCATTTCTCATTTCAGTTAATTCATTCATATGTTTCAGCCTTTCAGGACTTTGTCTAGTTACTCGGTTACTCCAATAAATGGTTTTAGATACTTTATTACATTTGTTGATGATTACACTCGTGCAACTCGGCTTTACGTGTTTAAATCACATAATGGAATATTTTCCATCCTCTGTGAGGTGTATACATATGTTAAAGTCCAATTTGATAGAGTATTATAACACTTTGATCTGACGATGTGAAAGAGTATTTCTCTTCTGGTCTCACAATTTTTTATCTGAGCATGATATTATACATGAATCATCATGTGCGCACAAACCCCAACGGAATGAAATTGCTGAATGTAAAAAAGTCATTTGATGGATGTTGCTTGCACTATGATGATTCATTATAATGTGCCACAACATTTTTGGGCTGTCATTGTCCTCACAACAAATTATATAATCAATTGCATGCCATCCTCTATCCTTAACGGAGAAATACCTTTTTCCCTTCTATTTTCTAAAGGTACTTCCTTTCCTTTGACTCCTAAGATCTTTGGTTGTGTATGTGATGTACGTGATCATTGTCTAGGGCATAACACACCTGATCCACTTGCAATAAAATGTGTGTTTCTAGGGTACTCACGAGTCGAAAAGAGTGGGCGTTGCTGTTGTTCAACCTTCGTCGTACTAGTGCCAATGTCACTTTCTCGACACTTTCAATGAGTGAAATCCAATCTTTGATAGCCCCACTAACTCTTTTGAAATTCCGAGTCAACTGATATAATCCCTGATCCTTTGAAACTCCAGATCCTCCGATCTATATCACCCCTATACAAACTTCAAGCAACTCGCCTCCAACTCTACCATCAGATACGAATACTCGATTCACAAAGGTGTACATCAAACAACGAAACAAGCAACACAGAACCAAGAGAACTCAACTTTGTGTCATGAAACCAGAAACTTTCCTATTCCACAGTCTACATCCAAACCGCACCCTGATCGAGAACCTCAATGTGTACCTTTCGAACCCTATGACCCACCTCGACCACCCTCCATGACATTCCAATTGCCTTATGAAAAGGTACTAAGAGTTGTACCAAGATATCACATTCAAAATTACCTTGCCTACTCTCTCCTTTTATCTGAATCATACGCTTATCAAATTGTGAAATAATGGGAAGGGATACTCTCAATAGGAGCCCAGGTAGATGTATTTATGCTGAAACAGTAGTTACCAAAATACAATAGGTTTCCTAAAATAATGAGATATCCTAATTAAGGTAAACTATTACACCCCTTCAAGCTATGCGGGAGATACAACGCGCATGTTGCCTTTTAAAAAATGAAACAGCTGACTAGATAAACTCTTGGTAAATATATCAACAAGCTGAAGATGAGTAGGGACATATTTCACAACTAGATCACCATGGGCTACTCGCTCTCGAAAAAAATGATAATCAATATGGATGTGCTTGCTTCGGGCATGTTGAACAGGATTAGCAATCAGATAAGAGGCAGAGATATTATCACAGAATAGCTGAACTGAAATCTGCACAGGGAACCAGAGTTCAAAGAAGACCGAACGAATGTGAAAGGTGTCCTGGATAGTGTAAGCAATGGCTCGATACTCTGCCTCAGTCACAGTAGGCTGCTTTTTAGACTTCCTTGACACCAGATTAGGCCTCAAGGAAACTGCAAATCCACTGACACATAACCCACCCAAAAGAAACAACAAGAGTAAGAACAATGCGAACAGTAGTGGGTTTAACAACAGGACTAAAAGTCTCAAAAAAATCTACGTCAGCCTGCTCATTAAAACCTTGAGCAACTAAACGTGCTTTATGGCGCTCAATAGACCCATCAGAATGAAATTTAGTTATATAAATCCACTTAGACCCAACCACATTTTTAGAGTTATCATACGGGACTAAATCCCAAGTATTACTAGAGATCGGTGCATTAAATTCATCAGCCATAGCCTCATGCAAAATTAAATGCTTATGTGCCTTGGAAAAACATGTGGGATTGGCTTAGCTAACAACTGTGTTTAAAGTAAAAATTGACTTTGGCTTAAAAATACCATATTTAGCCCGGGTTTGCATAAGATGGACATTAATACGGGGAGGTGAGGAACGGGCTGGAGAGGTGACAACCGGCCAGGATGAACTGGGAGCTGAGGACAGGTGGCTGGCCAAAGACTCCCTGGAAGATGACGCCAGATTGGGCTTTTCCAACTGAGAGGTGTGGACTGGACCGTGCGGGCTAGGCTGATCGGGCTGGACTGGGGTCTGCGGACTGGGGTGTTCAGACTGGGGGGGTGCGGACCGGACAGGGTGTAGAAGGCTGGTCGGAGGGTATGTCGGCAGTGGGCTGATCATCAGGGGGCTTGAAAAATTGGAAGGAAGGCAATGGGTTGACTGGTGAGTGGAATTTGAGAGCATTGGCTGGTCTTAGGGAGTTAGTTAGGAAAAATTGGGAGTCGTTTGGAGACTGCAAGGTTCGAAATTGCGTATTGCGTAATCGTGGCGAATTTTTAGAATTGCATATTGCGTAAGCCTCATTGCGCAATGAGGCGTATAACTGAGGCGTAAATATAAATAAATATATATATAATAAAAACAAACATCATTATTCAACATAAATCAGCAAATATAATAATAAACAGAAAATTTAGTATTAATATTAAATCGAAGTTGAAGTTATCGTTCAATATTATAACTGAAAAAACATATTGATAAGTTGAAACTTAATGGAAGGATAATAATAAAATATTAATAGGCAGAAAATTAACTTTAATATTTAGTATTTAATTGAATAGAAACAAAAATTAAGCATTCAAATAGAGTAGATATGTTGCAACTTAATCAAAGGATAATAATAAAATATTAATAGGCATAAAATTAACATTAATACTCTGTATTTTGTATTTAATTCAATAAAAACAAAAACTAAGCATCAAGCAGATTGGCCGACAATAGAAAACTACGCAGTAGCGTACAACTGTACAAGAAGATTGGCCGACATATGAAGGCTGAATAATCGCCCAAGCAGGAAGAAGGTGCTGGAAAGAGAAGGTTAAATGTACGCTGGGAAGAAGCAGCAGGTTATTGCGTATATACTGAACCATATAATCGCATCTGTTTTACTAAAAAGTGGGCCCAACGGGCCAAAAAAAATTAAACTTCACACAGTTAATCGTACGCCATACGTACGCCTCATGGCTTACGTTTTATTGCGTACGCCTTAACGTTAAAAACGTACGCTTCAAGCCTATACGCAATATGCAATGCAATTTTACGCAATGACCATAGAAATAGCTGAGGCGCGCCATATGGCGCTATGGCATTGCGCAATTGCAAACAATGGGAGACTGACACGGTGATGGAGAAGAACCTAAAGATGGATAGGGAAAATTATTTTCAAGAAACCGAACGTGGCGACTAATGTAGACCCTGCCAGACTTAGGTTCAACACCACGATACTCTTTGTATCCAGATGCATAGCCAAGAAACACACAATGAACAGAACGAGGATACAATTTGTTCGATGAAGAAGCAGATATATTTGGAAAACGGGAGCACCCAAACACACGCAAAAAGGAGTAATCAGGAGATTTTTTGAAAAGTTTTTCATAAGGAGATAAACCACAAAGAAGACAACGATACCCTTTGTATCCGAATGCATAGGAAAGGAGTGTTTCAAATCATGAACATCAACTAACACATCACGAGAAAGCGTAGCAAACAACCAACAGCGAATTGTTTGATCCACTCTCAATCAATGATAATACTCCGTATTTGTAATCTGGCGATTATTAAAATCAACAGTGTACATAGAGGGTACCTGAATGGAACCGTCAACGATGCCAAAGAGACCTTGAGAGATCAAGAACGATTCGAATTGAGTACGCCAGGTGAGGTAGTGTTCTACGGCCTTGAGTTTGATAGTGACAATCTGGGAGACAATCATGATATGTGAAACAGACTGAGCAAGGGACGCCATTAGAGTCTCAAACAACAACTGAGCCTGCGACCGAATGATGCCCGGCGAACCAGAGAACGTCGACCCAAAGAAAGGGGAAGCATGCGTCGACACAAGAGAAGAATGAATCGCCGGAGATGGCTGGACCGCCGGAGGCATCTGCCACGGAAAACATGGGGGCAGCGTCTAATAGAGAGAACGGCTCTGTCGTGGAGAACACCGAGGGCGGCGGAAAGCTTGTAAATAGTGTCAAGGAGCCAGGCAACGTCGCAGAACTGGTGGCGCCTGTCAAAGTCGGAGCAGAGACGGAGGGAGAAGAAGACTCTGTCATCACGCTGGCGACGGTAGAAACCTCCGGCGCCGTTGATATGGTGGCTGCAGCGGAGGTGGACATATTGCGGAAATAACGAGAGGAAAGAGGTGAGCCGATTTTTTTTAGGTTTGGACTCTTGATACCATGTGAAATAATGGGAAGAGATACTCCCAATAGGAGCCCCTGGTAGATATATTTATACTGAAACAGTAGTTACCAAAATACAATAGGATTCCTAAAATAATGAGATATCCTAATTAAGGTAAATTATTACAAACAACCATTGATAATCACCTTGTTCCAAGGAGTGTAATTTAGCCAGTAAATCATACTAGATGGTTTAAAGCAATGCAACACGAGATGGATTCCCTACAGGGAAGTTAGACTTGGGATTTGGTTATGCTTCCTCGTAAAAAGCACACAACTGGTTGTAAATGGGTTTATACTTTAAAACTTCATCATGAGATTGAAAGCCGACTAGTTGCCAAGGGTTACTCTCAGGCATATGAGATTGACTATGGTGAAACATTTCCCCAAGTAGTCAAGATGCCATGTGTTCAGATTTGTATTGCTCTGGCTGCAATCACTGGCAGTTCCATGAGTTGGATATCAAGATGCCTTCCTTAACGGCTCTTTAGGAGGAGATATATATGGAGCAACATCGTGGATTTATATTTAAGGGGGAGGCATTTAAAGTATGTCAATCGAGACGTTCTTTAGATGAGCTCAAACAATCTCCTAGAGTATGGTTTAGATGTTGCTCTGATGTCCTTCAACAATTTAGCATGACCCGGAGCTCTCATGATCATTCTGTGTTCTTTAGACATCATATGGGTCGACTACTCATTCTTGTAGTGTATGTGGATGATATTATCATCAGTGGAGATGATATCAGTGGAATTTCAGGATTGAAAGAGTTTCTATAATCACATTTTCAGGTTACGGATTTGGGGCGTCTTCGTTACTTTCTTGGGATAGAAGTCTCCCAATCTCCACAAGGAATTCTTTTATCTCAAGTCTTAATAGAAGTATGTCCTTGATATGTTGACTGAATGTGATTTACTAGGGTGCAAAGCAGTGGGTAGCCCAATGCTTATGACAGGAAAACTTCTTCAAGGGGATGGAAGTCCTAAGAAGGATCCAAAGCATTTCTTTGTGTTTTGAGGTATTTCAAAGCCACACCAGGCTTAGGAGTGCTCTATTCCAATCAAAGTCATTATCGAGTAGGTGCATTCACTAAAGAAGGTGATGCCATAATATCTAGTTTATCGGATGCAGGTTTGGCTGGCTGGCCTGTTTCGAGAAAGTCGACTACTGGGCATTGTGTCTTTGTTGATATAAATCTAGTTTTCTGAAATCCAAGAAACAACGCACTGTCTCTCGATCAAGTGCATAGTCGGAATATAGAGTCATGGCAGATGCTTCATGTGAAATGACATGGGTTATAAAAGATTGCTCAAAGAGCTTGGACTGAATACTAATGATTTGATCAGGCTTTATTGTAATAATCAGTTAGCTATTCATATAGCCAAGAACCAAGCATTTCATGTGAGGATGAGAGGACAAAACACATTGAAGTTGATCGTCACTTAGTCAGAGTTCATGTGGTTGGCACACAATCAAACCCTCCATTGCATGTTAGGACTAAACATCAACTCACAGACATTTTTACGAAGCCACTTTGCAAGTATTTGTAGCAAGTTACACATGATTAATATCTTTGCTCCAACTTGAGGAGAAGTGTTAGGTACAGCTGTATGTATGCTCAATTAAAGGACATTCCATTAGAGATATGTTACACAGGCTTACAGCTGTATATATGCTCAATTAACTGAGATTTTAGTTACTTAGTATAGAATCTACACTTTCATAATTTAGCTATGATACTTTTGTATATATATTCAGTATTCTTTGTTCAACACACACTGAAAACATTTCATACTTCTGCTTATTAACAAATACTACATATTAATGACTGCATTTTTGTCAACTTCTTGTACTGTAGTTCCAAATTTGTTGATTTTTGCTCTTGTGTGCTTTTTAAATATTTTGTTAAGAACTGAAAGCCCAACTCACGAATAAAGGTTACATTTTTTTTTGCAATGGTAAGTGGTTATAAGAGGATGCACTGTTTCTATATTTGCAGACAAGATATCACCCACCTTGGTTTGTTTGGCACTTGGTAGAAAGAAAAATACTCAAGTTTATTTACTTGAGTTGTTGCTATTGTTGTGACTGGCTAAATCAACATTGAGTCAAATACTGCAAATAAATTACACGAGGCATTTTCCATTCTTATATTTTTTTATAGAGAGTTCACATTGAACTGCAGAGTTGCAGTTCTATCCATGTGTTTTGTTCATTATCTGTATATGGGGTTTGAGCATTGCTAGAGATCCTAAAATTGGGGTTTTCACATTATACATATATGCGTGGTTTAATTTGATGACAATTCACAGCTGGAGTTGTTCAAGAGGCAATTGATGCAATCTCTGAGTGAAGACAATTCAACTGTAAGATTGTACTACTAGTTTTTTTTTTTATTTAGCCTTGTATTTTGAGTGGCTAAATCTTATCAAGTTGTAGCCAAAATAATTGTATGATTTGTGTCTGCTCTATTAATTAAAACAATACAACAACATTACCCTAGTGCCGCAAAGGCTCCCACCTACGGTGGGGTAAGGAGGGTCAGGTGTAAGCAGCCTTACCCCTGTACTAAAGCACAGAGACTATTTCCGAATGATCCATGATGAAATTCGTGTCGAAAATTGCATGGACGACTGGTGCTTCATAACAAAGAAGCGCACACGGTTTAGTGAGCTATTTTTCTTTATTTCATCATATTCCCAAGCCAAAAAATGCATTATCTTAAAGAATGTGTAAAATACATTTACTTTTATTTAATCTCTTGAATAAAAACAGTAGCTCATGTACTATTGTCTATCATTATCAGCCAATCCATCAGCATACTGAAATCAAGACTGAGTCAGAACTTCATTTGAGTGGTGTCATGTTTTTAGTTTAATATTAATTCTCAGATAAAAATATAAAATAAAATCATTTATAGTTCTACTATATCTACAAGTAATCAATTCAATTCTTACAAGTTAAAATATTGTGTAACTTCATCATCATCGGCGTTTCCAAACACTATATTGTAGTATGTGGCTCCGTCCGTGACTGAAATAAGCAGGCGTTTGGTGGAAAATATGGCTTAAAACTTAAAAAGTTAAAAGGCCGATAAGCCGAAAAAGGGGTTTACCAAACAGGCTATTGTTACCTCATTTATGTTTCACATAAGCCTTTGCTGCAGTGTGGAGGCTGTTTTTGTTTAACAAGCATAGAATTGTTCCTATAATTAGCGAAGTACTGAATACTGATTCTTTCTCATGATTGCCAGCAATCAGAAGCAGTTGATATTGGCACTTATGATCAATTAGCTGCAAAGTCACTTTCTCCTAAAGGCAAGTCTCTGCTTTCTGTGCTTGATGAGTATTTTTCAAATGTTTGTGTTTTGCACTCATTTCATTGAACCTTCATACATGGCTTTCCTAGTAGAGAAGATGTCTAGGTTTGTTATTTGTATTCTAATGGGCTACCTCCTCAACTCTCAGATGCTGCTAATGGCTACATCTCACAATATGCCTTTAATGGGGCTAAAGAGAGTGCAGGTGTCAATGATGATGGTATATTTCTTTATTTCTTGTAGTTCATGATAAGTGCTGCTTATGAGAAATCAATGCAAAATTCCAAAAATAGGAGTACTATATTTTCCCCCTAAACAAGAGTATCTTCCTGCCATCCTGAAGTTTCTGTGTCATATTTTGGCATTACGAAGCTTTAGATATGTAGTATGTCATTATACTGCCATAATTGGAGTATTTTTCAAGCATGACGGTAATTACTCTTATCCAGAAAATAAAAACGAAGTGCTCTTGTTTTGAAATTCCAAAATGTTTTACTTCTATTTAGGGCACTTTGTTTTTTTGTGACACAAGTGTCGCTTTATAAAACCAAGATAACATTAAATACCATTTTCCCACTCTCCCCTTTAGGAACCAATACAACAAATTCAATGATATTAGGAGCGTTTTTAGTGGAGTAATGTTATAAACAAGTTCCATTTATGATTTCTTAACATGCGTAATTTCCTCCACAGTAACACTTATTGTGAACCATAGTGAAAAATGTGTAGTTTGGAGCGTGCCTCAAGGTGAGATAGTCAGGATGGGTATTGATGCTTATCCCTTCTTGCACTCTAAGAGGCTTATGCCTTGAATTGTCATGGCATACGCCTTGAGGTGTGCCTTAGGGCGTTTTTTGAGGCAGGATTCTTTGTTTTTTTCTTTTCATCTGTGAGAAAAGTAAGTAATTAGGCTCATACTGATAGAACCAGATAATTCTGACTTAGAATTGTAGAGAATCACTAAGAAATTGATCAAGAAAGAGACGAAGAAAATGTTTATTGATGAACGATGTGTTTACGGAATGAATACAACGGACAATTCGAGATGCCCAGTCTCCTAGCCTATCCTAGTCCCAAAATACTTGCCTACCTTCTTCTTTTCCCCTTCCTTTGTATTTATAGTACTTTTATTTCTTTAAGGGCTGGCCCATTATTTCTAAATGGCCCAGAATCTTCACTTATACACTATTACACTCTTTAATACCATTCTAATATTCTTATTATTATTATTGTCTATATTCCTATCAATACTCCCCCCCTAAACAACCACCTTGTCCTCAAGGTGGGTGATAGGGAACAACCATGATCTTCCACTTCCACTTCATTCTGGCACTTCTCCCCTCCCAGTACTTGACTGATTGCTGGACTAAGATCTTCCATACTTGAACCTTCCTCCTTACTTCTTCTAGCAAGAGCATCAATAGATCCCCTATCTTCAGAACATCAGTACCACTCCGATGACTTTGTTCCTTCTGGAATTGAGTTTTACCAATCTGCCCATTCACCAACTGCTCAATCTTCCAATTGCTAACAACTCTTGCCTCATGATATGACTCAAGCTCTTTGATTTCAGTTGCTCCACTCCTTGAAGTTGTAGTATCAGATATGAAGTAATCCCTGGGACCAATAATAACAGCAGGAACATCAATGTTCGGTACCCATCCTTGTTTGATTAATTCCTCAGTAGCATTAGTGTCTGCGCTGATGATTCCCTGAAGCTTCTTTCCATCATTTCCCTGTTCTATTTCCTCAGTTTCCTCGATGTGGACAGTCCCTGTAGAGCTTTCCCAAGTGTTTGAACCAGCAATTTTATCAACTACAGATTCATAGTTTACGGAGATAGAGGATTGAGTCACCACAGCCGATTTCTCCTCTTTATTGACTAGAGACACCTCTATCTCTCTTCTGGTTCGGCTTTGTCCTAGATTCTCGAATACCTCATCTTTGTTAGGTATCGTCTGAGAACTGAAAGGTTCGCTTCTCAAAGGCTTCTTACTTTGACCCAAACTGAGAGGGTCAGCTTGCGACAAAGCCAGGGAACTGGGGAGAGTTGCTTGTGACTTGGACAAAACTTGTGAATTGAAACCTCCTGTCAATCTTGTTTCACTTGGAGAAGAAGAAGTTTGGGAGTGCGATTGTGAAGACTTCTGCGAACGTATGAGGAATTCAAATGATGGACTGTAAGAACAAACAGTAGTTCGCGTAGAAGATTGTGAACTGAGAGTAGTTCTTGGTGAGGATTTCTGGATCTCTGTCTTCCGCATGCCTGTAGGTTGGAAACGCCGCGTTATGGCGTCCTTCATAGCGCCCCAACTCATGTCACTCATTTGAATTTCCCACCATTGAAACCAGTGAAACGCCCTTTCTTCCATAGCTTCAGCTGCGATTTCAACCTTATTTTTTTCTGTAATAGCATAGAGACAGAAATATCGTTCCATCCTATCCATCCATCTAAAAGCGTCATCACCATTGAAAGAAGGTAATTCCATCTCCCTCAAAGTGCGATGCACAGTGCGATGCGGATTGTGCGATGAAACTTGTGCGTTTAGCGAGGACCCCTGCGTACTGAGCGAAGCTGTTCGCGATTGTGAACTAAGAGTAATCGTTCGCGATTTCGAACTAGGATAAGCAGTTTGCGATTCAGTCTGTGAATTAGGAGAAAAAACCTGCGAAGAAGATAGAGGATGAACAGTTCGCGACGAAGATTTAATACTGGAAGTGTGAGGAGCAGAGGGTGAAGACATCTTCGACCCTGTAGTAACCACTCGCGATCTCCCTCTCCCCTGAAATTGTTCGTTCCTCGCAGTTAGCTGTCTGGTTATGTTTTCCGCCATCTCTCTTATTTCTGTTAATTTCTTCTTCATCGATACCTGCCTCCTTTCCAGCAAATCCATGCGCTGATCCATTTTACCTCTCGCTCTAACCCTCCACCTTCGAACGAAAAAAAATTCTGGATCTCCGTACTTCTCCGATCACTTCTGTAATCACCAGGAGCGTAATGCTCTGATACCAATCATAGAACCAGATAATTCTGACTTAGAATTGTAGAGAATCACTAAGAAATTGATCAAGAAAGAGACGAAGAAAATGTTTATTGATGAACGATGTGTTTACGGAATGAATACAACGGACAATTCGAGATGCCCAGTCTCCTAGCCTATCCAAGTCCCAAAATACTTGCCTACCTTCTTCTTTTCCCCTTCCTTTGTATTTATAGTACTTTTATTTCTTTAAGGGCTGGCCCATTATTTCTAAATGGCCCAGAATCTTCACTTATACACTATTACACTCTTTAATACCATTCTAATATTCTTATTAGTATTATTGTCTATATTCCTATCACATACAGTATAAGATATTACATATATACTTTCTATACCCTAATAGCGAATAAAAAAGAAGCCACATATCTGATCAGTGTCTTAAGATGGCCTTGGTGTACTTGATGGTGATGTTTTTGGAGGGGAAGCATTAGATGTTGACTAAACTTAAACTAAAAAAAGTTGAAGCAAGAAACTGATACTCAAGAGACATATAATAAAAAAATAAGTAAATGAGGTGGATGATGAAGAGGAATGTCAGTTTTTCCCCTTGTTCTGATCATGTCATGTATTTTGTGCTTAAAACTTTCTGGAGTCAGGTCTTATAATTATGCATATCTGTAGTTGGTACTTAGTTGTAGAACTACAAAAGTCTTAGTTGTTGGTATATATTGAAGCTTACACCTCACGACTTATGTCCCATATCTTCAAAACAAATTGCCTTGATACCCCAACTAGCCATTCAAAACTAGTTGTAAACTGTAGGGAGTAATTTATCTTGCATGTTTTGAAATTTGAAGCATTGGAAGCTTGTTAATTTTTAATTATTTATTTTATAAAATATGTTTGGTTCACAGCATCAAAACAATCTATTCAAAGATTTGCTGTGACGCCTTACATAACTCCCCGGCTTACCCCAACTGGAACGCCAAAGGTAGCATCAGCTAGTGTATCTCCCAGGCGATATTCTGCTGCTGAGTCTCCTCACATAGCATCTGGCGCAACATCACCCACAAATTCTCATTACGAGGGTCGGGGCTCAATGTCGTCTTTTTTTCCATCAAGCCAGCAATCTTCAGCTGCAAACTCACCACCAAGATCACGCCCTACGTCAGGTTCAAGTTGCTGATATCTTTTAATCCCAATAGTGAGCCTTTTAGGGTATGTTTGGATTCATGAAAATGCTATGGACGGGGGTGGGGGAGTTCTAATGAAAGTTGTTTTCTTATGTTCTTATTGTCAGAGTAATTTGCATGAGATTAATAGTTCCAATCAATTGTATAAATTAGTTAATTAATCAATTAATAATATATATTCCTTCTAATTTTCAAAATATATATATATTCCTTCTAAAGCATAGATACATTGTTTTATACTGGATGTCCTTCATGAGAGGAAAGAATTAAAAGAAAATTCTAAACCATCATGTTAAGTCCAAATGCATGCAAAATTTCACGAAACATTGATGAGTTGAGATATTTCCTTTTTCCTTGTCCATTACAAATTGATATTGCCAGCAGACCAACATGTAAATCATGGAGCATGGTATCTTAATCTTATAGACATAATAAATAAAATGATATCTACAAATATCCAAATTAGATCAAGTCTAACATTTTCTCTCCCTTAGACCATTTGGAGTGGTGTGAGAGTCTAAATGTCAAAAATGGACTTCGTCCATATGAAAATAGTGTTTTGACTCCTATTTCTCTGCATTCCAGCACCGTCAATAAAATACACACTGCATATTTTTTACATATCAATTTAGTAAAACATTGGAGCATTGGATTCTCTCCTCAACTTGTGTCTATCCATAACACATTGGATTCCCTTTTCAACTTGTGTCTATTCATATCACATTGGATTCTCTTTTCCATTATGTGTGTCATTTCATAGCACATTATATGACATTGGATTCTCTTTTCCACCATGTATGTCCTTTCATAGCACATTGGATGCTATTCTCCTCTTGGTGTATCCAAACATAATAAATTGGATGTATCTTTCACTTCGTGTGAGCATCAAAGAACTATATTACTATAAATACATGGTCTCACTTGACATTGGAGTCACACACCTCATCTTTACTTCTCCCATTTTCAAGTATTCTACAACAAATCCGTTAATGAAGATGAAGATGAAGAAGCCTATTCCGACCGCATGCGCATGGCTTTTATGGCTTCTTTGGTTGCAACAAGCTACAATAGCCGTGAGTACATAGACCGTTTAGTTTTGGGCTGCCAATGCACCCTTCAAATATACCCCCCCTCCATCCCCTTATCCATTTTTACTCCCCCACACAGCCAACCACTACAAGGAATTAGGAGTCCAAAAATTCCAGTTTTAGCATTTTGGACTCCTAATCCTACACCACTCCAAGTGGTCTTATAGTCTAACCTTTTCTTTCCCTTTCATTGTCTTTCCATACAATTTTTTCCTATTCCTCCCATACTTTCTTTCCCCAGTAATTTTCTGTTTTCCAGATGAAGCCTTAAAGCTTAATACATCTGACTGATTTCCCTCTCCCTATTCGTCTCTATTGTATTTCCCCTTGAGTAAGAAGAGCAATTGCGGTTTGCCAGCACCTTTGTGCAGATTTTTTGGACGGAAACTTTTCTTCTTCAAAACTGTCTCTTTGTTGCCAATGTATACGGTAACCTTCTTATTTTCTGTTTTTTATGTGTTTTCTGACGTTTTACAATTTTTAAAGCTCAAACTCCTCGAATAGATGGGAAGGAGTTCTTTCGTCAAGCCAGGTGAATATCAAATTTTTTCACCTCAATCTAACTTGGTTCCACATTGAGATAGCATTCTACTTATTTTTGCTGCTTCTTGATTCAGGAGTCGTCTATCCTATGAGCAGTTCAGTGCATTTTTGGCGAACATAAAGGAGTTAAATGCACATAAGCAATCTCGTGAGGTGAAATAATGATTTTACACTTTATTTTTTGAATTAAGACTTGCTTGTTATTGTGATTCTTATAATATCTTGTAGGAAACTTTGAGGAAAGCGGAAGATATATTTGGCAAGGATAACAAGGATCTTTATACATTGTTCCAAGGTTTGCTTAACCGCAATGCACGATAGAATTGTACCTGTAGCTTATATTCATGTGTTTATCCCTCCCTTCATGTTGGTTGCTTAGGTTTTCGTGTTCTTTTTTTCTTGGTAGACACTCTATCCGTGCTTATCTCTCCCATCGAAAGATTTGTAACACAAAACTTGTTCAGTTGATCAGAGATTCATCATCAGCAATAATGTTTATGAGTTAGGCTCTGTTTGGTTCCATGATTCAGCTTGTTGTTCGTATCTGCAAAATAATCAGAAACCTCGCTTATTTTAGCCAAATAGCCCATACCAAACAAGGGTTTGTGGTAAAATTTATGGCTTTAATGAGGTGGAAAAGGTTTGGTGATGTTCTTTTACGGGAAAGGGATTGAAGGTGTACTTTAAAGAAATTATATTGAAAAATTACAAAAAATAAACTTACCATTTTAAAAAAAAGTTCATTTAGATTAAAAATTACGCCTGAAAAATTATACAAAATTTTTTTTTATTACTTTAAAAAAGCATTCATATTGAATGCAATCATATTTTGTAGGCATGGACTCGGGCCGGGCCTAGGCCCGGTCGGGCTGCCGGTTTGTAACACATGGACCTGGAACCGGCCCGAGGTTTGGACGGGTCCGGTTCGGGCCGGGCCACTTGCCCGGGTCACGGGTTCGGGCCACCCGTCCGGGTCACAGGTTCGGGCCACCCGCCGGGCCGGGTCGGGCCGGTTAAAACTATTTTTTTTTTAAATTTATACTTTATAGTTTTATACAAGTATTTAAAACAAACTTCAAGTGCATTTATTTGAAATGAAATAGGAACTACATTTGAAAATTAAGAGAAACATACAATATGAAATACATTTTGTAAATTGTAATCAATCGGAACTTCCCGCACCTCCCGATCCTTTGGCTTTGTCACATTACTTAATATGCTTCATTGTCATTCCATATCCGCCTAGGGATGGACTCAGTCCGGGCCAACCGGCTCGGAATCGGACTGGCCCGCTATTGTGCGGGCCTGGACCGGCCCGGTGAACCGGTTGGTGCCCGGTTCGGGCCACCCGGCCCGGTCTTCTAACGGTTCGGTCCCGGGCCTCCAGTTTAGTGAACCGGCCCGGTCCGGGCCGCAACGGTCACATTTTAATTTTTTTTTATTATTTAAATACTAGAAGGCTCCATAGTCGTTGGGAGAGCTCCCAAATGGCTCTATAGCCGTTGGGAGCATAGGAGGGGGGTCTGGGGGGTTAGGGGGGTGGGGTATACAAAAAAAAACCTATTTATACTCCTGTTTTCTATACATTTTTTACACCTCTTCTTCTACAACTCTTCCTACTCTCTAAATTCTCTATTCTCTCAATCTCTCATATTCAATCATCTTCATTCTTCATCTTCTCCAAATTCTTTCTACATATATATAATTTATATAATTATTATATCTACTTATATATTAATTATCTACTTATAAATATATACTTATACACATTCATATTATAATTCTTTACACATTATATTATATATACTATATATAGTTATACATTATATTATATATTACTTATAATATATTTACACATTATATATACTATATATACTTATACTCATTGATATAGACTTATACACATTCATACATTTTATAAAAGTAGTTAATTGTTAGACTTCTCGTTTATCTATTAAATTACTTAATCGTTTCATTTGTCATATTAATATTAGTTAACGTAGTTAATTGTTTCATTTGTGATATTAATATTAGTTAAAGTAGTTAATTGTTTCATTTGTCATATTAATATTAGTTAAAGTAGTTAAAGTTAATTGTTTCATTTGTCATATTAATATTAGTTAAACTACTTAATTGTTACATTTCTCATATTAATATTAGTTAATTGCTACATTGCTCATTAAAGTTAAAAAAAGTAGTTAATTTTTACATTTCTCATATTAGTTAATTGCTACATTTCTCATTAAAGTAAAAAAAAGTAGTTAATTTTTACATTTCTCATATTAGTTAATTGCTACATTTCTCATTAAAGTACAAAAAAAGTAGTTAATTTTTACATTTCTCATATTAGTTAATTGGAGGTAGTGAAGGGGGGAATTAAATTGATTTGGGCTAGCACTCCACTAAAAATGCAATGGCGGCAATATTTGAAGGATAGACGTGTCAATTATTGTGCTTTTCCTAAAGATTTGTCTATTCGTTGGAATAGTACTTATAATTTAATTCAAGTACTTATTAGATATAAAGATCATTTTCCAGCTTTTTTAAGACAAATTTGTAACTATATTATAAACCCGGCTGACATCGACACTTGTGAAAAAATTGTTAATGTTTTGGCATATTTTAATAACGCAACTCAAACTTTTAGTCATGTTTATAAATCTACCGCAAACGAATTTTTTGTTGAAGCTGTTAATCTCGTCGGCGCTTTTTGTGAATTTTCTGAAGCCACTTACGTTAGTTATTTTTGTGATTTCATGAAACAAAAGTGTTTAAAATATTATTCACATATTCCGCATATATATGGTATTGCATTTGTTCTTGATCCTCGTTATAAACTTGCTTACTTGGCAAATTGTATAGATTACTATTATGCTTCTTTTTTTCCAACTCAAGAGTTCGATGATAATCTCATCGACCCTAAACAAGAATTCAACGAGGTTAGTAATTTATTTCATCAATTGTATAATGAATTTCATGCACAATATGGTAATGCACCCCCTCCCATGCAACGAACATCTTCTTCATCTAAAGGAAATTCACTTTTAAAATCCGCTTTTGGTTCTCTTTTGAAAAAAAGTAGAGCAACTCCCGCTACTGAACAAAGCTCAGGTAACGAGCTTTCTTTGTATCTAACATTGAATGTTGATTATGAAGTTGGTGATGACTTTGACGTTCTTAAGTGGTGGAAGGAAAATGAAAGAACGTTCCCGATTTTATCAAAGATGACTAAGCAAGTGCTAGCAATGCCGATATCAACCATTGCCGTGGAACACGAATTTAGTGCGGCCGACAACGTCCTAACCGATTAAAGAACGAGGTTGAGACCGAGCTCTCTTGAGACACTAGTTTGCTTTCACGATTGGTTGGAGGCCCAACGAAGAACTCAAGAAATTACCATCGCTCCCACCCGCCACTTTATGGAGGAAACAACCGAAGGCGGAGATTCCGGTTGATTTTTTTTTACAAAATGTATTACATTTTTTAAATTCATTCTAATTCTCAATTGTACTTCTTATTTGAAATAAATATACTTGAATTAGAATATAATATATTGTAATTGTAATAAGAATTATTCTAATAATATAATATATAATAATAAAAAAATTAAAAGGCCCGGCCCGGCCCGGCGGGCGGCCCAGCCCGTGAACCTGGTGGGTGACCCGAACCGAACCGGACCCGGGGTTATCCGGGCCGGTTCCGGGCCTGCCTTCCGTGAACCGAGGCCCGGCCGGTTCAAGGCCCGAACCGAGTCCGCCACTATATCCGCCTGAAACCTCCATGCTACATTTTTTCCCGCACCATTTGCAAGTTGCGTACCACATCTCGGTCCTTGGGTCCTTCTGCTTATCAAAATTATATCGTATAACGGCATATTGACTTTCCATCTTAAAAATGGTAGATATAATAATTCTACAATAGATGGAGATGAAGATGGAGAATGGAGATTAGAGATTGGATGTTGGAGAAGATGTGTATAAACTATTAATCTAACTATTAATTCGAGTTATAGCAAATTAGTATTTTAAAGTTTACTTTAATCAAATTAACTAGTGAATTAACTAGTTTTGTGTACAACCTATTTTTTTTACTAACAATGAAATTAATATACTTTAACTTTAACTATAATGAGAATTAACTAGTTTTTTAAATTAGAGTCAAAGGTAGCAATTAATAAAAAATTGTAATAAAGTAATTAACTATTAATCTAACTATTAATTCGAGTTATACAAAATTAGTATTTTAAAGTTTACTTTAATCAAATTAACTAGGGAATTAACTAGTTTTGTGTACAACCTATTTTTTTACTAACAATGAAATTAATACACTTTAACTTTAACTATAATGAGAATTACAACTAGTTTTTTGTACAACCTATGTTTTTTTTACTAACAATCAAATTATTATAGTTTAACTTTAACTATTATGAGAATTAACTAGTTTTTTTTTTCAAGTAACGTTAATACAAAATTAAACAAGTGTAAATAATAGAATGATTTCGTACCTCTTTCGGACTTTCGGACTTTCGGATGGAAGTAATAAAATGACTTCAAATTAATTAGATATAATTCCAACTATATTAATAGATACAATAAATGTATAAGTAATATATAATTAGATAAGAAATATAAGTAATATAATGTATGTATTTATAAATTATAAGTCGATAATTAATATAAAGTAGATATATAAATATAATATATTGGAGAATAAGAGAATTAGAGAGTAGAGAGTTAAGAATAGGATTTAGGAAGAATTGGAGAAGAGATGAAAAAATGTTTTAGATTAGGAGTATTTATAGGTTTTTTTACCCCACCCCGACCCCCACCCACCCCCCAAACCCCCGGACCCCCCTTCAGCCCACCCAACGGCTATATAGCCGTTTGGGTTGTCCCCAGCCCACCCCCCAACGGCTAGTTCGGCCCAAAAGTCCAAAACAATTTTTTTTTAAAAAAAATGTGACCGTTGGACCCGGACCCGGCCGGGCCGGGTCAACTATTTCCGGAACCGAGCCCGCCCCACCCATCCCCCCGGTTCGGGTCTACACCCGGTCCCGGACCGCCAGACCGGGCCGGTCCCGGGCCCGCACAGTAGCGGGCCGGGCCGGTGGCCCGAACCGAATCCACCCCTAATATTTTGTGACTAGTGATCGCTAATAATTTACTATATCAATTATATAATATTTATTATTATTATTTTTGAATGAAAATGATCTATATTAAAACTAATAAATCAAACAATATTACAATATACTCAAGATCACACCAAACTCATGCATAATTCCAATGATTAGATTTGACTTTTCCATCCACAAATGAGGCGCAAAAGTTGCTAACCGTGACACCGTGTCATGGACAAATAGAAACTTAACATCACCATATAGTCTCCATGTTTCTATCGAGATTTAAAATACTTACAACTCTATCAAAATCAAAACGAATAAATAAAAAGTAATTCAGAGTACTGAAATAGGCAAAACCATAAAAAACAAACCGACCTAGGAAAATAATAAAGCATCAAGCCATCAGTTTTCAATTATGTCGCGTTGTAGCCTGATTCCATTGGACCTGCAAGTTCGTTTTGACTGTTTGAAACCCAATAACATTTACTCAGTATTTCAATCTCGTACTTCAAAGTTTGATAAAATATGGCACTACTCTATCCTTCTGAAGGAGGACGGATCAATGGTGTCGTCATAGACAGGGGCGGATCTAGCATTTACATTCATGTGAGGCCAAATTTAATTAAATAATGTATATTACAAAAAAAGTTAAAATGTAGTATTATAATATTAGTATTATAGAAATGTCGAAGAAAAAAGTAAATATTATAGAACCGACAATACAATTATCTTTAAAGTCATATATATCGAACCGAAGTTTCATCGGTTACCCAAATGTTTAGTGCCAATTTTTAGGTTAGTTACTTAGAAACCGGATAAACCGATTTTTTTAACTCTAAAATCTATACTCTATGTAAAAAAACTTATTTTTACGTACCAAACACAATGTATTAATTAATTAATTTTTCAGACCAATATTCAAAAGCCCAATGAGTTGAACTAATTATTTTTTAGGGCAATATTCAAATAGCTCAATCAATTGAACTAATTCGTTTTTTAGACTAATGAAGCCCAATTAATTGGACTAATTAATTTTTGCATTCTAGTATTCAAAAGCCAAAAGTTCAGATTTCAAGATTCGTGTAAGGGAAGAAGAGATTGTTTGGGAAAAAACTGAAAATTTTAAAATAGCATACTCTAGGATTTGGAATAAAAAAAATATTGCTGCTCCCGCTGGGGATCAAACATGTAACCTCTGCATTACATGGTTAAGCTACTACCATTATCCCAATATAGTTTTTATTCACATAACGACGTTTGTTTTTCTTATACCATTTCTTCACAGCACATATATAATACACACACATATACTAGTAATTTGATTTTTGAGGTTGGGCCTAGGCCCTCCCTGGCCATATGCCTGATCCGCCCATGGTCATAGATGGGTTGAGAAATGAGAAGCATAAATAGATTTGAGAAAAAATATCTTAAACTTAATGAATGTTATCAATATCAATTGAAGAATAACATAACACCCTAGAATTTCTTGCATCATTAATTTGAGAAAAAGCCACCCATAGAATGACTACCAAAATTGATAGGAGAAGAACTGTATAAACTTTAGGGAGTAAAACACCACTCAAATTGATATAGTTATGAGCAATTCCCCTCCTACCTTCAAATAGAGAAACAAAACTCTAAAACGATGAAAGCAAGTGAAAATACTGGATGTGACGCTCTTCCCGCCCTTCAATGCTGGTTGAGACGAAAAAGCAGAGGAAAAGCCACAACGCCGCTGCCTCCTAGTCCTAGGGCAATATTATATTTTTATTAGGAAAAAGGTTTAAATAAGTCCTACAATTATAGATCCATCACATAGATCCATGTACTAAAAAACAATCATATAAATCCACTTACTCTTACAAAACAATCGATTAGCTCAAACTACCGGAAGATGACCTTGTATAACAGGTTAAAAGCTAATCCTTTTCTTTTTCATTTTCATTTATTTTTCACTTTTTTTCCCTGGCCACTACTTCGTTCCTCCAGTCCCCAAGCCCCACCTCCATCAATTTCTCTCATTTCTGGCCACTCCTTGGTTCTTGCCTTTTCATTTTTTTGTTTAATTTTGTTATCTTTTACTCTTTGTGTTATCTTGTTCCCTTTTTTATTTTCATCCTTTTTCTGTAGATTCTAAAATCAATTTGCTTTCATGAGGTCTGATCAATGAATAGAGAGAAACGAACATCCTCAGGGAGTGACCTTCCCTTACTCATCTGTCACCATTCAATTACCGAAAATTGTTCTCATCGTCGGAATTATTCAAGTGACAAAGGAAAATCGCCGGAATTATAGGTCTTCCTTCTCCATCTCTCCCAACCCGGCCATCCACCGCAACCTAGACAAAGATGCGTCAATGGAATTCCTATCTTCGTCCGTTCCTCCATGGATGCGCACCACATGATTACAATCGTTAGCCACCACCCGGTGTCCCTAGAAGCCTTGGAGAAGTAGGTTGCAGATCATCGACACTTCCTTTCCCCTCGATTTTAAGTTCCAAGGCTGTAGAGAGTGAATGGGATAAGATGTAAAAGCATGGTGGAGCTGAAAAAAGCTAGGAAAGAATGAAGCAAGAGAAAGAGATAAAAAGAAGAAAAGGAAAAGTCAAACTTGTGTTTTAACCGGCAAAGAAAGTTCAGTTCCGGTAAATTTGGTCAGATCGATTCTTTTTACAAAGTAAATGTGTGTAAGTGATGGTTTTATTAGTGGATGGGTTTATGTGATTGATTCATTATAGTTGAAGGGTTTATTTGATCTTTTTTCCTTTTTATTATTTGTGACAAGATCCACTTCTTGAATTTAATACAATGAAGATAATAATAATATTTAAGTTGGTGACAATATAAACTAAATTGAGATTTTTTCACATATTAACTAAAAAGTGAAAATAATATCACTCTTATCACTTTTCGAAGTTTTTTTCAAAAATAAGCTAGTTAAAAGTTTCTTTTCACAAATAGACTCATATCTAGTAAATAAATACTCATAAGGACTCCCGAAATGTCTCCTCCTCACAATCCACTGTGCACGTAAGGTGTGATCTCAGAAGTTGTTCTCTTTGTTTGATCTGAATGTTTCTGATCTTAATTTTTTAAGATCTGATCTGATCTGAATTTTTCTGATCTGATCTGATCTCATCTGAATCTTTTTTATCTGATCTGATCTGATCCGAATGTTACTGATTTGATCTGATCTGAATTTTTCTGATATGATCTGAATGCTTCTGATCTGATCTTAATCCTTCTGATCTGATCTTAACATTCTAAACCGGTATATAATAATATTAATACTAATAATAATAATATCAATAATAATAATAAATAATATCAATAATAATTATAACAAATTATTAATAATAATAACTATTATTATTATAATTATAATTATTTAATAATAATAATAATAATAATAAA